CATCGAACCCCAAAAAATGTTCCATGGAAATGACCTTAATGCCCAAAGAAATTTGTGTGGAAGTGGTGACCTTAATGCCCAAAGAATCTTCCGTGGAAATGGTGACCTGAAAGTTTTTGAAGGTCAAAGAAAATGTGACCTCGTAAAACTGGGTCGTTTACAGCAGGACCTCGTAAAACTGGTCCTTTTGAGGTGGAGGGTATAAATACCATTAAATACCTAAATACAAAGTCAGGCTGCTCTTGCGGAGCCTGTGGGCAAGTCCACCTGTGGTTCACTCAAAACTTGCAAGTCCTGAACCTTCTACACACTCTGGCACGAACTGCCTCTACATCGACGTCGGTATCTGTGCTCTCCACTGACAGAACTTCACCAAGTTCATCCACGAAAGCTGCAATTGGATTCGCGGAGATCCAAGTCAGCTGTCGGTGCAAGTGCGTTGAAAGGCGCGCGGGTGCAAATAATGTGCAGGGATCATGCCACGAAGATTCAGTTGACTCCAGCGAGGGAATGCTGCATTCTCCGCAGCCATTCTCCCCACAAGCAACAGCTCTGCCATCACTTCGGAGTAGCACTGTATGGTGCAATCCTGCTGAAACCTGGGTGTAGGACAGTCCTTCATCCAACGCTGGAATGTTGCATTGTCCAAACCTATTTCCTCCACAAGCAAGAGCTTTGCCATCACTTCGCAGAAGCACTGTATGAGTCTCTCCTGCGGAAATCTGGGTGTAGGACAGTCCTTTATCCAACGCTGGAATGTTGCATTGTCCGAACCTATTTCCTCCACAAGCAAGAGCTTTGCCATCGCTTTGGAGAAGCACTGTATGGACCCCTCCTGCGGACACCTGGGTGTAGCGAAGTCCCTCATTCAAAGCTGGAATGTCGCATTGGCCCCAGTCATTGACCCCACAAGCCACAGCGCTGCCATCACTTCGGAGAAGTACGGTGTGGATCGATGCGGCAGCCTGTGTGTAGGTCATTCCCTCCTCCAAGGGTGGAAGGTCGCATTCCCCTGTTTCTCCACGATCAAGAGCGCTTTCGCCATTTCGGATCATATGAAGCCTTCCTTGGATGCTTAAGGAACCGGGAAACATAAAGTTAACCAAAGGGGATTTAGGCAAAATAGAAAACCAGCTGGAATGCAAAACCATGCGTCCTGCAGAGCATTGGGTGTAGCAAATGTCCGTATCCAAAGCGGGAATGTTGCATAGTTCTGCATACGTTGGATCTTCTCCTCCGCAAGCAACCGCGCTTCCGTCGTTTCGGATCAACACAGTGTGAAACCTTCCTGCAGAGACTTGGGAATAGCGAAGTCCCTCATCCAAAGCTGGAATATTGCATTGTTCTGCATGTTCTCCCCCGCAAGCAACAGCGCTTCCATCGCTTCTGATCAGCACAGTGTGAGACCTTCCTGCAGAGACTTGGACGTAGTGAAGTCCCTCATCCAAAGCTGGAATGTTGCATTGTTCTGCATGCTCTGGATCTTCTCCTCCGCAAGCAACCGCGCTTCCGTCATTTCGGATCAACACAGTGTGAGACTTTCCTGCAGAGACTTGGGCATAGCAAAGTCCCTCAATGTTGCATTGGTACTGATTTCTGCCACGGGTGGCTGCCTTGTTTTCTTCTATTTTTTTCGGAGAAAAGCTCGGAAGGAAAGAAGAGGCTATTCCTTCGACCATAGACTGCATGCTGGCGCTTGCCGGACCTGGGCAAAAAAGACAATAGGCTCCACTGGCTCCACTGAGGCTCCACTGGCTCCACTGCCTAAGTCATTTAAAGCCCAAAGGGTCTGCATCCGAAAAGAGCGGGGAGTGGAACTTCCGGAAGGTCCAGGTCCAACGCGAGTCAGTCGACGAATTCACGGACTCGATGCAAAAGCCGTGCAGTAGCTGGGGCTGCTGTTTCAGCTCCAGTTCCAGTTGTTTCATGAAGAAGTCTAGGAGTCGGGTGCAGTTCTATGGAGTTGGGTGCAGGCCGTTGGGTGCGGACGCCCATGGACTGCGATGCCCATGGAACCACTCACGGGATACTCACGGAACCCAACCCAACTCCATGGAACCGGATGTGGCGATGGAAAACCACCACCACAACAACTGCTGCTGCTCCTACGACTACTCCTGCTGCTGCTGCTGCTGCTACTAGATCTAGAACGACTACTACGACTACAACTACTGGGACTAGGACTAGGACTACGACTACTACTACTACTACTACTACTACTACTACTACTACTACTACTACTA